CCCAGCTACTCAGGAGGCTGAGGCAGGAGAATTGCCTGAACCCAGGAGGCGGAGGTTGCGTTGAACCGAGATGGCGCCATTGCACTTTAGCCTGGGTAAGAAGAGCGAAACTCCGTCTCAAAAAAAAAAAAAAGAAAAGAAAATTAGGTTAGCATGAGAAACTGAAGATACTGAATTACACTGCCTATTCAGTCTGTACTTTAGGATATACAGTGGGATATACTTACCTTTACTAGAAATAAATATGGTTCAAATTATATTACTACTTTCAGAGTTTTTTGACAAATGCAGTCAGTTTGTAGTGAATTTTTGTTAAATTACAAAAAATTTGTGACCCTGACATCTTGAAACTAGTTAATATTTTTAAACTTTGCTAACACTGTTTATCTCTGCATCTATGAGTTATTTATGTATAGCTAAATATGTTTATATTTATACATATACATTACACATAGGAGTGGATTCATACCCAATTTTTTGTATAGCCTGCTCTTTTCATATAATACTATATTATAGCATCTAGTATAAACAAAGATTAATTTTTGTAGACTTTGCTTTTATCCTGAAATTTTATGGTACTGGTTTAATGGAAAGACAATTTCTGTGACTACTGTTTTGTCAGTTAGGTATTGACCCTGGTAAACACTGCTAGATAACAGTAAGCAGTGTAAAAATATATTTGTTCCATAACATAACCTCCATGGAGGTAGGGGCTTGGTTTGTTTTGTTTATTGCACCATGTCCTATTCTAGGAATAGTGTTAGGCTCATAAAAGGTGATCAAGAAATATTGGTTGAATAAATCAATAACATTCTCTAGCATATGGATATCCTAAAGGTTTATCATTTTTAAAGTTTATTGATTAGAATTAAAAAGACATTTGCCCAGATAAAATAATAGATTGTCTTGAAAATGTAATTTATATTTAATTTGAAATGTCCAGTTTTTGCTATTTTTTCCATTAAGTAGAGATAGTGTTTTTTAAAATTAAATGTAAAGTTTTAAGTATTCTGGTTTTGCAACAATTGCCAGTAGGATTAGGTATCAACTTAATGAAAACTTCATGACAGCACTTTCTTAAAAAAGACTATGGAAACCAAAGTTAGTAAATGATTTTGGAAGACATAAAGATATTTAAATGTTCCTTTCTTTTTCTTTTCTTTTTTTTTTTTTTTTTTTTTTTGAGACAGGGTCTTGGTTTGTCTGGAGTGCAGTGGTGCAGTCACAGCTCACTGCAGCCTTGAACTCCTGGGCTCAATCCTCCTGCCTCAGCCTTCTGAGTAGCTGGGACTACAGGAGTGCACCACTATACCTGGCTAATAATTTCTTTGGTTAAGAACATTAACTACAACTCATACATTTTCCTGACCACATTAGCTTAGGGCAAAACGGTAACAGTTACAAGTATAGATTAAAAAAATAAGGGAACTAATCTTAAACATTGAACCTCTTTTCAGCAAATTGGTATTCTAGTTTCTCAGCTCTTCCTTACACCTCTAAATCTCTTTCCTGGCACGATCACTTATTTGCCTTGGTTTATGGTGATGCCTTGGTTTATGGTTCATTATTATACTGGTGGATGATTGTTTTAATTAGTAGCTAGGTTTTTTTTTTTTTTTTCCTTCAGGAAAATGACACTGCTGGCTCTGATATTTACCTTATGGCTAATGCCTATGTTTGCCTATGTTCACATTTATTCCATGATTCATTTATTAACAGTTACTAAGCTGCTTTTCTGTGCCAGGAACTTGGCTAGATGAATAAATTGTTGTTTTTGTACACAAAATTAACTGTCATAATCAGTTACTGTAGCATTTATTTTTGCAGAAATATACATTTATACTTCAACTGAGTGATCGAATCTCAACTTACTAATTCATACATTCAGCTAGCACATAATTGAATACTCCTTATGTGTCAGAAACTTAATGTTATAGGTGCTTGGGATGCATCATTGAACAAAATAGACAAAAGTCCCTGCCTTTCTGGAACTTACTTTCCAGTGTAGGTTTGGATTGGTGGGGTAATAAAATAAAATAAGCAAGTAAGATACATACTTAGGTTTTCATAAAAATAGAGCAGGTCAAGAGGACCAAGATGGAGGTAGTAATCAGGGAATCTCAACTCAGTGAAGGTGAGACTGGGAAAAAGACTTGAAAAGGGTAGAAAAGCAAGCCTTATAGGTATTTAGGGTAGCAGTAGTCCAGGCAAGGGGGACAACTAGTGCAAAGGCCCTAGAAGGCAGTGTGTTTGAAATGTTTTAAGAACAGTAAGGAGACTAGCATGCCTAGAACAGAGTGAGCAAAGGGGGCAAAGTGGTACAAGATGAGATTAAAGAGGTAATGAAGCCATTGTGGTGGCCCAATGGACTATTGGAAGCACTTTGGCTTTTACTCTGAATGAGGCAAACACCATTTTAAGCAGAGAGGAGTGGTATGACTTGATTTCTTGTTAAAGTTATTCTAGTTGCTGTTACAGGAAAAGACCAGGAGTACAGAGAAACAGATGAAGAATATAAAGTTTTCACTGAAACATATCTAGTATGCTTGCTTATATTTGAAAATGCATATCGAGATAATTGTAGTAAATTCAAATAGTATGTCTGGTTTATAGTACTAGCATTGATATGCTTCTTAATTATTATAATTGACATAATAATAGGAGCACTAATAAAGAACAAGTCAGAGATTCCCAAAAGAATGTTGAAAAGGCAGTCAACTTTTCCTTTGCCTAAAATCAAAGTCATAGCAGATTTTGGCGAAATACTAACGCCAGAGTCAAACATATGCACATCCTTTCTGAGAAGACAAAGATGAATGTGTGACAGTTTCCTGCCCCCAATAATCTTTAAGGGTTGTAGAGGAAGATTAGTATGGCCAAATAACTAGAGTGATCAGTTCTACCAGAGAGGGCCAGTTTTGGAAGACAGAAAAAAACAACAACCCAGAAACAAAATGATGTTTGAGTTAAATCTTTAAAAGTTTCTCTCATAAATTTACCAAGGCACATATTGGGAAGGGTACCCCCAGACAGAAGGAGTAGAATAATTTAACCAGAAAGGAAGTAGTATGGTGTTTTTGAGTAACTACAGTGTGGCTGAAGAATGTGGGAAATGATAAGGACAGAGAGATGGGCAGGAAACTAGGTAAGGGAGGGCTTCCTTTTAAAATAATTAGATCTTGTCCTGTGTACATTTAATGGAATTTTAATCAGAACATAATACCAGATTTCTTTACTTTGGAAGGATCTTTATGGTGGTGGTTCCAGAAGGGAATTAAAGCAGAGTAACAGTGGTTAGCAATAATGATCGGCTAGTAGTTCCCAAACCTATGTATCATATGCATCTTGGGGGTTTTTAAAAACTCCCATTTTGGAATCCTGACTTAAATCTACTGAATCAGAATTTACAGATTCAAATTCCTACTGGGGCTTAGGAATTTGAAATGTTGAATGTCCTTCATGATGCAGCTGGACAAGCATTTGGGAATACAGCATTAGGTGACTATTTCAGTAGACTAAGGAGTGGAGGCTATTTAACTTCAAGGGCTGTTCTGCTTCTAACTATATTTCTAGTACCTAGGATACTGCATGGTACTTGATAGATGTATCCTTCCATACCTCACCCTACACATCTCTTCATCTGTATCCTTAGTAATATCCTCTGTAATAAACTGGTAAACACTTATCCCTGAGTCCTGTCAGCTGCTTCAGCAAAGATGGGTTTGTGAGAATCCCAACTTGAAATCTATCGGTCAGAAGTTTCTGAGGCCTAGACTTGGAACTTATGTTGGGGGAGAGGGGCAGTCTTGGGGACTGAGCCCTCCATCTGACACTGTCTCCAGGTAGATAGTGTTAAAATTGAAGGACAGCCAACTGGTGTCCACTGCAGAATTGATTGCTCACTTGGTGGTGGAGAGAATGCCTCTTCCCCTCATTTGGTTACAGAAGTTATCTTGTGTATTGTTGATTGCTGTGGTATGGGAACAGAAGGCGAAAAAAACTGTTGGAGAGTTTTTTTCCAAAACAATAAAGAGATTATTTAGATTTATAAAAATAGAATCAATGTAAATTAACTGAGCACATTGTAAAATATAGAGTAGAGCTGTGTATAAGGAGTATATCTTAATGTCAGGCTGACACAAATTGAATGTTTGCTAGAAGCTTCAAAAATCTAAGCTTCCCAAGTATGTGAAAATACTCAGGTTAGCAAACATTTTTATGCAAACAGCAAAACAATGCTCAGAGCCATTTAAGGAAAAAGAACAGTAACTGAATTCTCTTACAGAAATGTGAGATGTTGTTAACTAAGTACTGATTTGTTCTACTTTTTGTTTATTTGTTTAGTGGGATTTCAGTTCCTAAAATTCCTTCAAATGTGCTGCAAAATACAAACCCAGAACTTGGTGAATCTTCCTTTTGTTTTCCTGTGAAAAATGATGAAATTTAAAACCTTGAGGATTAGACCTTGAGGGTTACCTTCCAGTGTTTATGCCATCATCATACAAAATTTTGGAGGAAAAAAACCCTTCCCACTTAAAAACCAGTCAGTCTCAGAAAGTCACCTCACCTGAGACTGCATCATTGTATTATGTGCATTAGCTTTAGGTATAGATCTAAAATGTTTTTAATATTTAAAAAACTTCAGCCTTTCTTCATTAATTTGGCCTAATACAAGTTAGAAGAACTTTAAAAATGAGTACAAACAACAAGGAAGTTGCTGTGACTGCCAAACAAATGTCGAGCAAGTAAAATACCAAAATGTTGAACTTAGATATTGAAAGAGTTGCTCTGTACAAATAAAGTCTACGGGGAGTGTATAGGATAGATTGAATTACTATCTTTTGATTCTCTCCCATTAATAATTGGCATTACCAGAAGGGGATACCTTGCTTTGAAGAGCTGCTGGACGTAGAGCAGAGAGCATCTATCACCGTTGGTAGGTGCCTTTCAGTTAGGACTTTGGATTTATTTTTATTTTTAATTTATTAAATTTTTATTTATTTTTCAAGCATCAACCTGTTTAATTGTTCATATTTTATTCTTGTATCAGTAGGTTAAGAAAGTAAACTTTCCCAAGCACTGATTTATAGATCATGTTTATAAGTGGCACACAAAAGTAAGTTTCATAAACAATAACATTCAATGATCTACTTAAATGCGATTGTAATCCTTACTTTAAGCTAAGGGCAATAATTTAATACAGTAGACTAAATACACACAAAACCAGTATATCCAGAACTACAAACATGGTTTCCATAGCCACATATGGTTTAGCCACAAAGGACACATTTCCACAATGAACAGGTACTTACAAATATGTTAATAAAACAGTAACCCAAATGCTTATCCTGCCATCAGCTTTTTAAGCAGTGCCATTCCTGCTGCGGAAAGCATTTATTTTTAGAAGCTTGACTCTGATCTGGGAAAACGAGTTCTCCTAAAACTTAACAGGATATTATAAGTCAGAAAAGATTTTAACTCAAAAAGCCTCCCAACACAGCATTATTTACGGAAACTTAGTTTCTTAAATAAAAATAATAACTTGTTACCTGAAGAAAATTAAAACAAATTATCTTTTAAGAGAGATAAACATTCTTACAAAAAACTGTATTTTCTCTATCTTTTTAAAAGAAATGTAAACCAGTTAATTATCTGTATTTATTTTTTGAGACAGAGTCATTCACGCTCTATTGCCCAGGCTGAAGTCCAGTGATGCCATCTCAGCTTGCTGCAATCTCCACCTCCTGGGTTCAAGCAATTCTGCCTCAGCCTCCCAAGTGGCTGGGATTACCAGTGCGTGCCACCATGTCTGGCTAATTTTTGAATTTTTAGTAGAGGCAGAGTTTTGCTATATTGGTCAGGCTGGTCTAGAACTCCTGGCTTCAAGTGATCCACCTGCCTCGGCCTCCCAAAGTACTGGGATTACAGGCGTGAGCCACAGTGGCCAGCCCAGTTCATTATCTTTAATAATAATTACCTTTAATAATGTTTAATAATAAACTAGACAGTAAACTAGTTGTTGTCTAAAAACTTCCAAATACATAAAGTACATGTCTGAGCTGTCAAGTCAAAAATGCTATGTAGATTTCACATATTAAACAGCTACAGTATAGCTTATAAGGGCATAAACATACCTAACACATAAATACTGCTTTATCCTTTAGATAGTCAAAAGTCAGAAGGAACTGCATGGTTTGCAAGGTACTTTGACTTATGAGTGGTCATTAAAACCCAGTAAGTAATTCAAGTATGGTAATAGAAAGGCAGGTAATTAAACGCACCAATATCACTCAGAAATCAAAGGCATAAAAATAAAGGCTGAGGCTGGGGGCTCAGTGGCTCACGCCTGTAATCCCAGCACTGTGGGAGGCTGAGGTGGGTGGATCACCTGAGGTCAGGAGTTCGAGACCAGCCTGGCCAACATGGTGAAACCCAGTCTCTAAAAATTAAAAATAAATAAATAAAGGATGAAAACTTTGTGTTTCTCCATCTTTCATTTACATGGCTAGATATCAGAACCTTACTTTAGAAGATATACAGTTATTATATATGATATCCCCAGATGGTAATTTTCAGAAACTACAAAAAGTTTCAAGATCCATAGTTTGCTTCATCAAATGCTTTTCTCGCTTGTTTCAATTCTTCATTCATAGTAAGCAAGCCTTTAACCCTGGCAAACTTCCTTGGGTCCTGTTGAATCAAGAAGACAGTATCTTCAACTTGTACTCGACCTTGTCTTCCAGTGAACATTGCCTTGTGAGTCACTTCAGTGATCAACTGTATATGACAAGATCTTCAAGAATATCCACTGACTCAGTATAAGGATTCTGGTCATCCCCAAAGCCATACATCATACATCGAAATTATTTAGAAAAAAGTCTCTTTCTTTTACCCTGTCCACCTTCTGCACCTCCTCCAATTTCTTCATTTTCTTCCTCAAAGGTAGGGTCCTCTTCCTCATCTGCCATCCTACTAGCCCACCAACCCACCAATTTTTATTTTTTTAGAGATGAGGTTTCACCATGTTGGCCAGGCTGGTCTCAAACTCCTGACCTCAAGTGATCTGCCCACCTTGGCCTCCCAAAGTGCTGGGATTACAGGCATGAGCCACCACACCCAGCCGAGATTTTGGATTTATAAGCAAACTCCAAGAAAGAGCCTGGTCCTGAGTCCCTCTGAATAGCTTAGGTCAAATCCTAAATTCTGAAGCCAACCCCTGTAATTCCCTCTTTATATCTCTGGTATGTGAACTAGGCAAATTTCAAACTTTATAATAGCCTAGACTTAAGAATACTTCCCTTGGTAATTAGGGTGAGTTTTTGAGAGACAGCATAGCCTAATGTTAATCACATGGACACCAGACTGCTTGAATGGAATACAGGTTCTACGATTTATTAACGGAGTAACTTTCAGTAAGCTATTTAGCCAGGGTCCTTATGTGTAACATGGTGATGATAATAAAGATTAAATAATAGGTGAAACATGTTTAGAATACCACTGTATACATAGTAAGCACCATGCATAGGTATTTGGATTTAAAAATACTGGCAAAGGCCACGTTGGGTGGCTCACACCTATAATCCTAGCACTTTGGGAGGCCAAGGCAGGAGGATTGCTTTAGCTCAGAAGTTCAAGATCAGTCTAGGCAACATAGATTCCATCTCTAAAAAAAATTAACAGAATTAGCTGGGCATGGTAGCGTGTGCCTGTAGCTACTTGGGAGGCTAAGGTAGGGAGGGAGAGGATTACTTGAGCCCACGATTTCGAGGTTGCAGTGAGCTAATGATCATGCCACTGTACTCCAGCCTGGGTAACAGCAAGACTCCCTCTAAAATAAAATCAAAACAAAACTGTAGTCAGAAATGCCAACTGAAAAATGAACATGAACAATTTTTTTTTTTTTTTGCATTTTTCTTGGGCCTGAGAAGTACAAGGCAGTTAAAATGATGAGATATAATTCTCATCTATCAGCTGACCAGAAATTAAGAAGCTTAAAAAGATGCATAATATATAATATTGCAGAGTACATGGGGTAATTGATATACACATTCATGAACTGGCAGAGACAAAAATGAGCACAGAACCGTTTGGAAAGCTATTACCTATTTTAAAAAAATTTTCAGTAGCACATTTTTTTATATCATGGAATTTCACTTCAGAACATCAGTCCTGCAGAAATACTGACACAAGTGCAAAAACAACAAAAACCCCCTTGTTTCTTCAAGGTCAGAAAGAGTTATTTCACCAAATAATAGAATTGAGGTACATTTACTTTATTAGAAATAAATCTAATAATCTGGTAACATTTTGAATAGTTACAGCTTAACTTCAGTTCTTGAAGTCCCATACCTTTACAATTAGGAATGCTAACAGGCTTTTTGTGCAACATGGAAAGATGAGTTTAAATCACCGCAATTATTTTGTCTTTTTTTTTTTTAATTTTTACTAACCTACAAAGCACCAAATATTTTGTTCTTAATCTGAAGAATAATAGACATTCTCTATAAAACAACTATTGCTTATTCATGAACTTTGTACACAAGAAGCTTAATAAGACTGGCTCAAAATTATTTTTCTAAATATATTTCCTATACAAAATAATTTCAGGATATAATTATTTTTGTGTTTAATACTGTATATTAAATAATAAGCATGTAAAAACTATAGTACCACAAAGATTCAGCTATTTTGATAGTAGTATACTCCAACATTAGTTCTAGAACAGTCGTTGATATGGGTGAACAAACTTTTGAATGTACTGTTAGCTGAAATAGTACCTTATGCAGTAGCAGAACTTGACTTGATCTGTACTTAAAATAGATGCAATTTATAACATTTAGAGAAATATAGTGACCTTATTTACTTGTGGAAAATGTACTTATTTCCTTCTGATCTACACATATTTTGTTGTGCAATGTAAGCAGTAAAACAAATAGTAGAGGGTTCATATCTGTGGGACCTAGACCCCCTGGTCTAACAGAAATAATTCTTGGTCAATACGGTAATTCTGTGGTATAAGACTGATAAAATTAGCCTTCTTGTGACTACTAGACAAGAAGCTGGGCAGTTCAGATGCTGAAACTCGTAAGAATTTCGGAAGCTTTAGCTTTAAGTAAGCTTTAAGGTTACTTAGAAATGTTATAAGACCTCCAGTAGTCAACATATGAAGGATATTATCCAAATTTCTCCATTAAATATTTATAGATCCACTGATTGGTTTATGTTTAGACTCACTGTGTGATAAAGGACATACTGATTTTTATCACCTTCATCTAATACAGGATTTTCAAGTCTATATTAGTTGTTCCCTTGAAGGACGGTTTTCTTCCAGAATTCAGTCTCATGTTCTTATTTTCAGTCTGCACTAGATTTTAAATATACTGTACCTTAGATGCTTTTTCTAACCTTACATTTCTAATGGATTTGTCTTAGATGCTTATTGTCACTCCTTGGACAGTCACTGCTATCTTCAAAGTTCTGGACAATACATGTATTTCAGAGGGCCTGGAGACATTCCATTACCACAGTTAGCTTGATCAGATACCCTTTAAAAGCACATAGCAGCTATTATAAGCTTTTCAATTTTTAATCAAGTGTTTCATTTGGGTAGTCATTTATTGGTAGTTTACATCGGTTGAGTGGTTCAGAACATATATATTAAGTTTTTAATAAAATTCTGAACACCTTGGCCAGGCACAATGGCTCAAGCCTGTAATTTGAGACTTTTGTGAGGAGGCAGGAGGATTGCTTGAGCCTAGGCGTTCAAGACCAGCCTAGGCAATGACGAATGCCTGGACTGATTGTGGCATTTGAACTAATATTCAGGTTAAACATGAGATGACTGATTATCATTCTATTTTGGAGGCTTTATTTGAACCAGATATAAACCTATTTCCCATGGTTATCACTGCCTTTCACCTATCACTTTAAGCAGGTAGGGGAGGAAGTGAGGGAAAGAGTTTCTGTTAAGGCCAATAGGGACCTGCTAGACACCTCCTCATCCTGAGAATAGTGCATGGAACTCCATTATATACTGGAGTATTATTGTCATATATTGTATTTTTTTTTGTTTTACTCTTCTGCTTATACAGATCAAGTCATACATTTTAAAATTCAGATTGAAAACATTTACAGAGAACAATGCAGTGAAATGAAAAATGAAATTACAGACTGCTGGCATTTGCATTTTCATGTTGCCTCGGCGACTCATTTTTTTTATAGTATAGCACTGAGAAAATCCTAGTTCATGTAACTAGTTATAGTTCATATAGATTCATATAACTAGTTATAAGTGATAATGGTGTCACCATCTATCTAACCAGATGAAGATAATAGTTTTTAATATCTCACCTTAAATTTCAAGGTACCCAAATTAAATTGATCTAGATGCTTGAGTTGAAATTTTTGTATCAAAGTTGTTACTACAATAACATGCTTACATTCCTTATTAAAGTATAAAAGTCCTACACGCACACAAACTTGATAAGTGCTAAAACACGTATCGCTATTGTCACAATACAACTTGTGTTATATTATAACAAGAGTTATAACAGTTCCATATGCTGAGAACTGTGCCTGTTCTTCAGAATGCTGCTCCTGTGGTTGGATCTTTCAGCTTTGCAGATCATTTGAAATGAGAGATTTGAGGTGGAGACAATTACATACTTCATTCATGGGATGTAAGGAGGATTAAGTGAAATAATGCTGGCTAAAAGTCCTTATTTACTATACTGCTTAATGCTCACTAAATCAACAGTTGTTTTTAACATTTGGCCAAGAACCGATTTAACAGGATTGAGTTGAGGGGCATAGGGGATCATGTGTGTTTGAAGTAGAAGCAGCATTCTCTATTAAGAAGAGAAAGAGTGTGGAAGAGCAAAGACTTTGGAGTAAAACAACACCTGAGTTCAAATCCTATTTGCTACATAATGGGTACTTTTAACCTATTGAATGCCAGTTCCTTCATTTGTAAAATAGGGACAATATTTAACCTGTATACAGGATGTCCTGAGAGAACTAGACACCTAGTACAGGATAATGTTGGCACATGGTAGCCTTTAATAAACTGGGTATTCAAGAAGCTCTTAGATGTCACTAGGCAGTTAAGCAAAGGAAGAGGGCTTTGCTTGGTGTGCCAATGAAAATCTTTCTTTTTGGATGAGTTCCCTGAAAATATGTCATTGCATTGACACCTTTATTTTTGCTAACCTATCCCTTTAAATTCTGGGTATTGTGTGTGCCATAGCTTTTCTTTCTTCCATATTCCTGCATTTATTTGGCACCTATTGTGCTAGTAATAGATAAGAGGCTACTAAGGGAGGAGGCAACCTGCACTGGCTTGTAGCTGCTAATATCATTTCCTATAGCTTACTGTCAGTGTTGTTCATGTGGTAAGGTGAAGGGTGAGAAAGTATTGGAATCTAAAGAAACTTAAGTAGAAATCAGTTTGTAGCTATTACTGTTCTACCTGCCAATAACTCCTATTTTCAAGTTATTATGTACAACTTTAGGTAGTTTCTTTAGCCTTAATCATGGTTTCTCTGTGTTGAGACTACTTTTGAATGACTATGTAGTACAGCCTTAGATATACAGGCTACTTTCAAGTTTTTGCCTTAAATAAAAGCATTCTCTCCAATTACACATGCTGGGGAGAAACACCTGCTTCTGAAATGTTTAAAGCTTGGTTTGGGACTTCCTGTGAGAGTTCCTTACTGTATGCAGTAATCCAAAATTTATATAGTTGTCCTTTATAAAAGTACATTCATCTAGCAGACAAAACTCAATGTAACTTAATTAAATGGCATCTTCTAATCCTTCTGTGATGAGCAGAAATGTAAAGTTTTATTCAAGCTAAGGCAAACTTTTTCTGTCTCATGTTTTGTTTTGTTTTGTTGTTGTTGTTAAGTAGGATAAGTTCTGAACGTCGAAAAGAAAAGTCTCGAGATGCAGCCAGATCTCGGCGAAGTAAAGAATCTGAAGTTTTTTATGAGCTTGCTCATCAGTTGCCACTTCCACATAATGTGAGCTCACATCTTGATAAGGCTTCTGTTATGAGACTTACCATCAGCTATTTGCGTGTGAGGAAACTTCTGGATGCTGGTGAGTTATTTTACAAGGGCGTAAATAGGCCTGAAAATTAGAAATTAGAAGTAAATAGAAATTATTTTTAGAAGGTGGTCACAATGTTTTAATTTTGTATACCTCATTATGTTGTGATTTGTAAACTTTGAAAATTTTTTCTATAATTCTTGCCATTTTTATCAAACTTCATTTTTTTCTCATCAGTTAAGTTATTCTTTGAAATAATCATTCTTTTTGCATTGTATTTTTTTTTTTGCTTTATTCTTTTAAACATACTCTGAATTCTTTTCTATTATAACATCCTTTTTATTACCTGCTTTTAAAGCTTTAGGAATTTTAAAGATACTGTTTTTTTTTTTTTTTTTTTTAATTTTTCCTTTTTCTCCTGTTCCATCTACCTTTCTTTCTTCCTTTAAAAAACATGACTCCTCTACTTCGATGGTTTACCTTGCTACATTACTTTAAATAATCATGAAAAGCAGCTGGCATATCTAATTATAGTCTTTCTAGCTTCTGGCCTTGACTGTTCTCTGTTTAAATGGCTGTATATGTTAAAGTATCTGTGAGAAAACTATAAAAACATCTAAATATTATATCACTTAAGTATAACTTTTTAATTTTCCTTTTCTTGTGCCGTTTTTAGGTGATTTGGATATTGAAGATGAAATGAAAGCACAAATGAATTGCTTTTATTTGAAAGCCTTGGATGGTTTTGTTATGGTTCTCACAGATGATGGTGACATGATTTACATTTCTGATAATGTGAACAAATACATGGGATTAACTCAGGTAAAATGCACACATATTAGGAGCCTTTCTGTATGTGTTTATGATTTTATGATACAATCCTAATTTTTAAAAATGTGTTTACAGTTTGAACTCACTGGACACAGTGTGTTTGATTTTACTCATCCATGTGACCATGAGGAAATGAGAGAAATGCTTACACACAGAAATGGTAAGAAAAGTCTGTTGTTTAATGTGACAGGTTAAATTTTGCAATTGTACTTACCTAAGGCAGAATGTTATTTCATGTTTAATAAAATGTTAAGTGTATTCTTCATTAAAACTGTTATTCTAGTTTTTAGGAATTTCATTTTGAAAGCTCACCTAATTGCATAAATAGTTGTGTGTGTGTGTGAGACATAAAATGGAAAAATAAATAACAATCAGGACCAAGAGAGTTATAAATAACCTTTTTTTTTTTTTTTAGATGGAGTTTCACTCTGTAGTCCAGACTGGTGTGCAGTGGCATGATCACAGCTCATTGTAGCCTTGACTGCTAGGGCTCAACTGATTCATCCACCTCAGTCTCCCAAGTAACTGGAACCACAGACGTGTGCCACCATGCCCAGCTAATTTTCAAAAAATCATCTGTAGAGAATAAGTCTCACTATGCTGCCCAGGCTGGTCTTGAACTAGTGGACTCAAGCCATCCTCCCACCTTGGCCTCCCAAAGTGTTGGGATTACAGGCATGAGCCACCATGCCCAGGCTGATCTTGAACTGCTGGACTCAAGAGTCTCCCAAAGCGCTACAATTAGCCTGTAATTGTAGCGCTTTGGGAGACAGAGCCAGGAGGATCTCCACGTGGTGGAGTTAAAAATTAAAATACACCATTAAGGCAAGGAGAAATTATAATACCAAGGGCAGATAATAGGATTTTAGACAGTCATTAAAGTTGAGGTGCCAGTTTGAGGTCTGAGGCCCAAGAGAAAAAGTTCACCAGAATTTTAAGACAAATAACTGCTTATTGACTTCTTAGGACATTCTCAATAATTTGAGACTGTGTAGTTTGATTATAAAGTTATTACAGTGTGGATGCCCACATTTTAACAAAAATAGAAACTTTTAATTCTTAGGAATGAATTGTTAAAAATAATCAAGTGTCCTGGGCGTGGTGCCTCACACCTGTAATCCCAGCACTTTGGGAGGCCAAGGTGGGTGGATCACGAGGTCAAGAGATCGAGACCATCCTGGCCAACATGATGAAACCCCGTCTCTACTAAAAAATACAAAACTTAGGTGGGCATGGTGGCACACACCTGTAGTCCTAGCTACTTGGGAGGCTGAGGCAGGAGAATCTCTGGAACCCAGGAGGTGGAGGTTGCAGTGAGCCAAGATCCCACCACTGCACTCCAGCCTGGCATCTGGCGACAAAGCGAGACTCTGTCTCAAAAAAAAAAATAAGTGTTCCGAGATTTTTGGAAAGTACCTCTTGAATTAAGAAAAATGAAGTCCCCATTTGTGTCTTCTTAAACAGTGTATACTGATCAAAAATTATTAAAAAAAATCATGTGTTCCAAGATTTTTGGAAAGTACCTCTTCAATTACAAAAACAATTTCAAGAAAGTCTTTCCACATTTGTGCCATCTTAAACAGCATATACTGATCATAATTGAAGTTTTCTTCATGTTGGGAAATTACCACAAGGAAAATTTCTTATGTTCTGCTGTTGTTGTTGCTCTCCAAATTAAGTGCATAAGTTTGTTTGCTTCTATATTATACAACCTCAAATTTATTTTCTGTATAACTAAGGTTTTCTATTTCATCTCATTTATAATAATAATAGCTAACCTCCATTGAGAGAATACTCTGTGCCAGGACACTGTTCTTCCCATTTTATATGCCTTTACCTCCTTTACTTCTCACAACAACCCTTTGAAGTTAACTGTTACAATTTATATTTTACCAGGAAACTGAGGCACAGAGTTACTAAGTAACTTGCCCAACATTATTTGGTTAGTAAATGGCAGAGCTTAGGCTGAACTACAGTAGACTGGCTTCAGAGTCCACACTCATTAGCTCTTTGGAGCTCTTTTCATATTTTTGAATTCTCACCACATTCTACTGTCTTTTTTCACCGTGTCAGCAGGACCTGTTTCCTGTTTTAAAATTCAGTATTGTGTTGTTACTGTTAATTTGGAAAACAAATGCATACTTTTGAGAATTCTGTATAAAGGAGGATTAAATATGCTGTGGACCTAAGTGGCTTGTCAATGACTTTAATATATGAGTTCCATTGTGCAGAGTTGAGGTTTATATTGACTGCTTAGTGCTTTCCCGAGGCTAGACTATAAATGGATGGATATTAGGAAGTCTTGTTTTGATTTGGTAATGATGTTAATGCATTATTCCAAATCAGATAGTCTTAATATGGTTTAAATATATATTTTGAACCAAGTGTTCTTTTTTTAAAGCACACAAACATTTTTTAAATCATTCCTAATGTAGTTAATGAAGTATTGATGTTCCATTGGGAAACTAAAAGGCAGATTTTTCTCTTTTAAAAATCAGGGACTGTTGCAAAGCATCACATTTTAGTGATACACTGAGAGCCAATGGTGTGTTTACACAAATAGTCCTATTATTCTTTCATATAAATTCTAAAAAGATACTTTAGAATTTATAAATTATTGCAAAATAACTTACTTTTAGACAGTTTAAAATTTGGTGTTTTTAAAATGTTTTTTTTTTCCCCACCCATTAGGAAGACGCTAGTACTTTTCAGTTACCTTTTTTTTTTTAAGATGGAGTCTCGCTCTGTTGCCCAGGCTGGAGTGCAATGGCACTATCTTGGCTCACTGTAACTTCTGCCTCCTGGGTTCAAGCGATTCTCCTGCCTCAGCCTCCCAAGTAGCTGGGACTACAAGTATGTGCCACCATGCCTGGCTAGTTTTTTGTATTGTTAGTAGAGACAGGGTTTCTCTGTGTTAGCCATAATGGTCTCAATCTGACCTCGTGATCCACCTGCCTTGGCCTCCTAAAGTGTTGGGATTACAAGCGTGAGTCATCACGCCCTGCCTACCTTGATTTTTAAATTAATCTATAGATACCCATTCAGAGGCCTTGGGTTTCTTTCAAAGGTCAGTATAATTCAAGCATAGATTATGAAGGAATGAACATACCCAAAGGATTTTGCATGTGAATCTTTATTGCCACTGCCACAACCATCATCACCTACACACATATATACATACACACGTGCGCGTGCTCTTGCGCACACACACACTCTCACACACACACACACACACACACACACACACACACACACACACAGCATCTTTTGAAAATATACTCTTGAATCCTTCCAGGGAGGGCAAATTCAGTTCTTATCTAAGGAAACCCAAATGGCCTGCATCAGCACCAGGACTGCTCATCTTTCCTAGTTTCATTAAATGAGTATGAGCTGGAATTCATCTTGTTCCTCAAGGGTCCAGCATTTCTAGCTAACAATGCCTAAATTTAAACTTATTCTCGTTTCTTTTCTACTTGACAGTGTTCTTTCAATATATTAGCATTAAAATTTCCAGATTTGATTTTTCTCCTGTCTTCCATCAGTTTTCTACCTCTTCATTTGTCTTTTGCCACCATTCTTTTCACTCATACTGCTGCCACTGGCTCAGCCCTCTATAATTCTAACATATATATTGCTGCTAAATTAATTTTCTTTAAGTTACTGATTGTGCTTCCCAATTCAGAATTTTTTAAAGCCCCTGTTGAATATTTTAGGCAGGATTCCATGTGGACATCCACAGCCCTCTGTACTACACAACCCTAACCTTCCCTTCTAGCTTTGCTTTATTACTCTTCTACGTGTACTTTATATTGTGGACAAACTGTACTATATGTTGCCGTTATTTTTCCTACCTCTGTGCTTTTCATTCTCTTCCTTCTCACCCATCTCTACTTACTGACATTCTAATGTCTCTTTTTCTATACAGGACTTCTAGATTCCCCCAACTAGAAGTTATCTTCTAAGCCCTCCTCCTTTAAAGCATATAAGTCTCAAGTACTGACTCTGCATTGTGCTTTTGTTTACATTAATATATCTACTACATTTTTCACTTCTTCAGGAAAGGCAGTGTGTCTTACTTATCTTTGTATTGCCTGCAATATCTAGTCCAGGTTCTGAATAATGAGTATTTCTGTATGTGTTTTGAAGCACCCTGACCAATGAAGATAAGAAAGATGAATATCAAAGACTGATAAGAATATTGATAAGAAATATGAATGAATATGAATATTGAAATATGAAATATATTAATAAGAAATCAAGATGCTATTTTCTTGTTGTTGTTTTTTTTTGGATATGGTGTCTCACTCTGTCACTCATGTTGGAGTGCAGTGGCACACTCCCAGTTCACTGTAACCTGTGCCTCCCAGGTTCAAGCGATTTTCACGCCTCAGTCTTCTGAATACTGGGATTATTGGTGTGCACCACCACACCTGGCTAGTATTTATATTTTTAGTAGAAACAGGATTTTGCCACAATGGCCAGCCTGGTCGCAAACTTCTGGCCTCAAGTGATCTTCCCAATCTTCCTATCTCAGCCTCCCAAAGTGCTGGGATTACAGGCATGAACCACCACACCCAGCAAGATTCTGTTTCCTTAGTCACCTAAATATTATCTCACTTTTTAGTTATAGGAGGTTTGGAGAATAGGAGTGAATAGACTTTACTTAATTCTGACTTTGCTTTATTTCTGCAGCTTTTTTGTTTTTTGAGATGAATTCTCACTCTGTCACCCAGGCTAGAGTGCAGTGGCACAGTCTCAGCCCACTGCAACCTCCACCTCCCAGGTTCAAGTGATTCCCCTGCCTCCATATCCCAAGTAGCTGGAATTACAGGCGCCCGCTACCATGCCCAGCTAATTTTTGTATTTTTAGTAGAGACGGGGTTTCACCATGTTGACCAGGCTGGTCTTGAACTCCTGACCTCAAGTGATTCTCCTTCCTCAGCCTCCCAAAGTGCTGGGATTATAGGCCTGAGCCACTGTGCCCGGCCTATTTCTGTAGCTTTTGATAAGTCATTTGATCTGTTGGTGGTGGTGTTTTCACGTAGTAACAAAGTAGAAATAATTTTCCTGTCTTGTTTACTAGATAAATTAAGGTGGAAAAAATAAGACATGTAAAAATATCATTTGCTGTTAAAAAAGAAAGTTGCTGTTTTAAAGGTTCTATAAATACATAGAATACTTATTAGAAATCGAGCTAACACATTCAGGAAATGATAGGAAGAGTTTACTGAAGTTCTTTGTTTAGGCATTCTTGTGTACCAGTAACACAGTTACAGAGTAAACTCATACCATTTTTATATTTCTTTGTAGTTTGACTAAGCTTACTGGCTTGAATGATTAACTGTTATCCCAAACAGGGAATAACAAATATCTTTCAGCCAACTCAGGGAATCACTGCTACTGAGTAGTGTATGTCAGATCTCATGGGTGTGCTGGAGTGGGTAAAAGGGGAATGAATTACTGTGTTCATGCTGAGACTTTTAACTGAACAGATATTCAGTTGATCTAGGTGCTGGGCACTTTGCTACTTATATTGTAACAAATTTGTATATTACTTGCTTTAAAACTTTATTTCATGCTTTCATTAGGCCCTGTGAAAAAGGGTAAAGAACAAAACACACAGCGAAGCTTTTTTCTCAGAATGAAGTGTACCTTAACTAGCCGAGGGAGAACTATGAACATAAAGTCTGCAACATGGAAGGTAAGTGAAAATTATTTGTGATTGATGATACACTTTATTTATACATAGACATTGTAGTATTAAGATAACTTTAGAATTGTGAGGGAAAGTTTACAGTTCCTTGGTGTTTATATATGTAACATTTATACTTTCAGCTGATTTGCATATGATCTCCAAAATCCAGAACCATATAGTAATTTGCCAATTTGAGGCACAAACTTAAATTATGTGAATTGTGGCACTGGTGTACCAGCCTTATCTAATCAGTTGGCTTTGTCAACCACCCAATATTTGAATCCTGATAGGGCTTAATTTTCTATTAATCATTGTTTTGTGTCTTTGTTCAGTGTTAAAACAGTCATCAGAGCAAGGAATAACTATCAAATAGCCAGATGATGAGATGAATGAAAAGGCAGCCTAGACTTTATCTGAGGGGAATTTTTTAAAGAGTAATTTATAGGGCCTGGGCAGGAAGTAGTAGTAGGTCATGGGTGGTATTGTAGGAAAAACATTTATTGATTTTCAAAAACAAGGTTAAGTCACCAGTGACAGTAAAATTTAACAAAGCTTACTGGCCATATCAGACTTAACTGCTCATCTCTGCTTTTTTCCCCCAGCATTGTAAATTTTTTTTTTTTAATGTTTTGTTTTCTTCTTCATACACAGGTATTACACTGCACAGGCCATATTCATGTATATGATACCAACAGTAACCAACCTCAGTGTGGGTATAAGAAACCACCTATGACCTGTTTGGTGCTGATTTGCGAACCCATTCCTCACCCATCAAATATTGAAATTCCTTTAGATAGCAAGACTTTTCTCAGTCGACACAGCCTGGATATGAAATTTTCTTACTGTGATGAAAGGTAAATTAGATCTAAAATGTGAATTTGAAATTTTTAATTAGTCTACAGCATTATTAATATTCACCATAGTAAAGATTTAATGTTGGCCATGTGCTGTGGCTCACACCTGTAAACCCAGCACTTTGGGAGTCTGAGGGGGATGAATCACTTGAAGTTAGGAGTTTGATACCAGCCTGGCCAATGTGGTGAAACCCTGTCTCTACTAAAAATAAAAATATTAGCTGGGCATGGTGGCAGGCATTACTCTGGAGGCTGAGGCAGGAGAATCACTTAAACCTGGGAAGTGGAGGTTGCAGTGAACCGAGATCACAGCACCACACTCCAGCCTACACAACAGAGTGAGACTTCATCTCAAAAAAAAAAAACAACTCAGTTTTAAACTATGCTTTCTGTTAAATTGAACAGAATGATACATCCTAGAACTTACTAATATTAGATTAACTTTGTAAATTAATTCAGCCACATTTATTGAACACTTAACTCTGTACTATGAACACTTACTTAACTAAGTGCTATCCAGAAATTAAGATTAGTCTTTTTTTCCCCCCAATAGGGGCTCTGCTTAAAGAGAGAATTTCAAAGACATACAATGTATATTTTGAGCAAAGACAGATTACCTTACGTTGGGGACTAGAAAGCCAACCTTTCTAGTTTGTACATCTCTTCATCCTACATATCTTACCTGAAAAACTTCACCCTTGCCCATAGTTTCATCACCATTTCTCACATTTTTTTGTAACTAATTCTATTTAATGCCACCTTAATATTTGTATCTGGATATTCTTCTGTTTTGTAAACTAAATATTTTTGTAACTGAACTGTACCACTACTGCCCCCAAACAACATCATCAAAAACTGCTTTTCTTCCTATAACACTTACATTGTAGTTAATATACCACCATGTACCATGACTCCAGCAAAACTCTGGAAATCATCCTTAACTTTTCTTTTACGTTCATTTTCTACGTATAGTTGATCTGTAAATCTCACAGGTTTACTATCTACATATATCTCTTGATCCATTTCCTCCTTTCCATCCTTGCACTCCTGCCACTGAATTCATTAGCTCATTATTAACTTTGACTTGAGTTGTTGGCTTAGCTGCCTTTTTGCCAACAGATTTGTACCCTTGTAATATTTCATCCAAGTTGCCAGAAAGTGGGTGTCCTACTGTGAAAATCAGATCACGTCATTCTCTTTTTAAAAATGCCTCAAATGCTTCCCTTCATCTTTACACACAAAAATATATTGTTTATAAAAATAATAGATGAGGGAAGTAAATTTTCATTAATCAAAAAATATGTGCATTTTAAAAGACTGAAACACCAATAGACCTACACAATAAAATCTAAACTTAGCATGACAAAAAAAGATATTTATAGTCTGGCCGTTGCCAACTTTTCCATATTAATCAGGAGGAAGGGCCACATCACTTACTCTGATGTGGCCCCCAACACCCTATAGCTAGAAAGCTCCCCATGCTGTTTTAATGTCTTAATGCAGGGGTCCCCAACCCCCAGTACTGGTCCATGGCCTGTTAGGACCCCAGCTGCATAGCAGGTGAGTGGTGATGAGCATTCCTGCCTGAGCTACACCTCCTGTCAGATCAGAGGCAGCATTAGATTCTTACGGGAATGGGAAACCATTGTGAACTGTACACGAGGGATCTAGTTTGTGCACCCCTTGTGAAAACCTAACTCAACTAGTGCCTGATGATCTGAGGTGGAACAGTTTCATCCTGAAACCATCCCACCCCCATCCATGGAACAGTTGTCTTCCACGACCTGTCCCTGGTGCCAAAAAGGTTGTAGACCACTTTTTTAGTGCCTTTGCACTACTTTCTTTCCTATTCTGTAATAAAGTTTTCTTCACTTCCTAACACATACTTACCTTCCAAGAGCGTCTACTCCTTTGTAGAGCTTTCCTTGTTCCTTCCAGAAGAAACTGCACTGTTACTCGTACATGCCTTGTGTAGCATTTACTCTACTATTGTAGTACTTGTCTCACTTTTTTACTATAAGGCTATATAATACAGTAACTGAAGGAGGCATAGGTTCTGTAGCCTGACTGCCAAATCCTGGCTTTGCTGCATATATCCAAATGATCTTGGACACATTAGTTCTTAGTTCTTGTCTATAAGCATCAGTTTCTTCTCAATAGTAACTTGAAGATGTTATGAGAAAACCAATTTTCAGCACTTACCATAATATAAAGTCGACAGGAACTCCCCACCCCATTGGACAAGGAAATATGACAGAGCAATGTCTTTGGAATCACATAATGTTAGATTCACTCATGGCTTGCATCTCTGATACTTATAATGTGGCCCTCGCCTTGGTACTTAACTATTGTAAAACTCACATTCCTTATCTATAAAATAAGAATCATGGCTGGGTGTAATGGCTCATGCCTGTAAATCTCAGCACTGTGGGAGGCCAAGGCAGGCAGATCACCTGAGGTCCTGAGTTTGAGATCAGCCTAGCCAACATGGTAAAACCCCATCTCTACTAAAAATACAAAAATTAGCAGGGTGTGGTGGTGCATGTCTGTCATCCCAGCTACTCAGGAGGCTGAGGCAGGAGAATTGCTTGAACCAGGGATTCGGAGGTTACAGTGAGCAGAGATCATGCCACTGTACTCCAGCCTGGCAGTCCATACCTCAGTAGGCTGTTGTAAGGATTAAAGGAGTCTATTGAGTGCCTAGGGCACATAGTTAATGCTTCACTACTGGTGTCAACTTCAAGAAAACGAATATAGAAAAGCTAAGTACTATTTTAAGGTATTTACTGCTAGTATTCATGTCAATGTATGATGGAACAGAGATGTCCATCCTATTTTAAGGAATTATTTTTTATTTTTTGAAAACAAGGTAACAAAGTAGAGGTGGGGGCCAGGGAGAAAGGAAGGTAATGGAGCAAAAATGAGAAAGGGAGTAGCATTCCCCTCTAGTTATAACAGAAAATTAGCAAAATGATCATGATGGGAGCTAACAGTATAGATAGCCAGCTTATAGATCAACCAAGACAGTTTTTTGTTTTGTTTTGTTTTGTTTTGTTTTTGTTTTGAAACAGAGTCTGGCTCTGTTTCCCAGACTGGAGTGCAGTGGCGCCATCTGGGCTCTCTGCAACCTCCACCTCCCAGATTCAAGCAATTCTTCTGCCTTAGCCTCCCAAGTAGCTGCGACTACAGGCGTGCACCACCACACCTGGCTAATTTTTGTATTTTTAGTCGAGATGGGGTATCATCATATCGGTCAGGCTGGTCTTGAACTCCTGACCTCATGATCTACCCACCTCAGCCTCCCAAAGTGCTGGCAGTACAGGCACAGGCCTTAGCCACCGAGACCAGCTTAGATCAACCAAGACAGTTTTGAGTTTGACCAGCAGACTGTTATTTTCTGGTTTAGTGCTCTTTACAGGAACTTCTTGCATCTGTAACTCCTGAGAACAAAGCTGTAGAAAAAATTTCTCAATTTTAAGAAAGTCTCACATATCAAGCTCCTAAAATCCAAAATATTCCACAAATAGCTGTTATTTACTATACTGAGTAATAATTCATTTAAAACTATTTGAGCATCTACTGTGCTTATGGCACTAAAGTAGAAATGAAGATGAACAGTTCCTGCCTCAAAATAAATGAGTGGTATACTGCTTTAGATCACAGGTTTCCTAGTCCATTTAAAACACTTTTTGATCATAGTTTCTGGGCACCCCCACCCCTTTGGTACAGGATAGAACCTATTTAATTCTCTAAAGTTGTATTAACTTCACCTTTCTTGCTTCAACATGTGTAAAATTGACCTTCAGGGAAAGCATATACAGTTTATTTTTGACTTCTTGGCATCTCTTAGTGATAGACATAACTCAAATTGAGAAGCACTGATTGACATCAGATTAAATCAGAGCTTCCTACGACAATATAAGCAAGACTCTCATTAATCTGATCCCCCTACCTACTTCTTCAGCATTATCTGATCTGTCTCCACTAACCATATTATAGAATCTTTGTTACCTGCACCATGTTAAGCATTTTTAAAAATCTTTTGCTTATACTGTACCTTTTCCCTGAAAGTGGTTTTGCCTTTCCTTTTTCTCTCTCTAGTCATAAGTCTTCTAGAAGAGGCTGTTCCTCACTCTACCCATCCTTTGCATGGATGAGATTGATTTCTCTGATTCCTGGAACAGATTCTCATCTCTGTATTTATCTTATTATTTCCTAAGGTAGTACCAGTACATCTACTGCAAGATTAGCCACGTGTTCACTTTTGTCTTAGCATTTTCATGACACATAGGCATATTAAGATTTGAATAGTGAAAAGTTTTTAATTCCATGGGAATTTTATTTAAATAGAAAAATATAAGACCAATTAAAATTATTTTTTAAAGCATGATTTCAAGAAATATGACTGATTTTGTTTAAAAACAAGTTTTCCTTTATAATGGTCCCACCTGGTGTTGCTGTGTTTACAGATGTCCCTTTGTAAAGAATTGAGGGTTTGAGTTGAGTTTGGTTTGGTTTTTGGCAAATCAGCTTTTCATTTATGTATTTATTTTGCAATAAACTATGGAAGATCTTGCCTTTAAGTGTAAGAACACAGCAGTATTACTTTTATACCTTTAAAGAATATCTTGCCTATGTCCTTCCTGTAGTTAGGTGGGGTTTTTTGGCATAAAGCATGTTACATAAGGTTTGCTTACACAGTAAGAAAGTCCTCTGAAATCTAAAGGCTAAGAATCTAGAAGTTTAACTCATGTTTCCTCCCAGAAAGACTTCAGATGAGATTATTTCTGTTCAGAATGGTATACTAGGAAAATAGCTTTCTCTTTCTCATGTCATAGTTGCCATTTCACACTGGTTACAGAGAATAAGATCTAGTCTGTGTCCTAAATAAAGGTCTAGTCTCTGCCAGTGAGCTAGATAGAGTAACTAGATTGACTTCCAGTCTATTTTCATTTGAAATATTGTTTTATATGAAATTATTCCCATAATTTCATGTGATGTCAAAAACTAAGTACAAGAACATCTTCTAAAACCAACATAATTCCTTTAGTTCCCATTTAGTGAAGGTATATAACTATGTAGTGGCTGCTGATCTCCCAAAGTGAGGCATTGCCTAGGGGCTTAACAGCTACTCCATAAAGAATTTGGCTTTATAAAAAAATAATGTTATAGATTTTATCTATATTTTAAACTGTCAGTGACTACCTTTACAACTTTTACCATTTAATTTAGCAGTGCTTCTTATTTGTTTATTAATACCCTGCCTTGTTACCAAAAGTATGTATAATGAGATGTGATAAAAATAGGTAATAAGTTTGGGTGAAGAGGATAAAAGAGTTAAATAGCCAGATGAACCTAGACTTAAAGAAATGTGTGGTGTTGTATTTAATAACTGTAGAGCTACAAAAGGTGAGGTGTAAATTTATTATAAGCAACGGCGAATGCTCTCTATTTTTGAAAATTCACTTGTCTGTAAGATGAATGCCTATCAGTTAACTTGGGAGAAGAAAAATTTTTATCAGTTAGTGTCTCCCTTTTTTTTCTTAAATCTTGTATTTTTTACTAACAGAATTACTGAATTGATGGGATATGAGCCAGAAGAACTTTTAGGCCGCTCAATTTACGAATATTATCATGCTTTAGACTCTGATCATCTGACCAAAACGCATCATGATAGTAAGTACAATGGAAGAACTCAAGAGATACTCTAATTATTTAACTGTTGGAACGTCTGTACAGTTTGGCTACCCATCTAGTTCTCTGGTTAAAATGTACCAGTCTTCCTAGACAAAATGTATTAACAGGCCTATTCAGTAGAGATCTTGACCATTTTATGTTTTGTATTTGTTGCAACAAATATCAGTAAAAATAGAATCATTTAATCACAGATGAAACTTCCTGGCATTTTAAATACAAAGACTTGTAAAAAACCAAATATTAGAGAGTATTGAATAGCATAATTTTCAGAATTCACATAAATACTCAGAACAGTGTTTGGTATATAAAAGACACTTAGAAAATATTTGTACAGTCAATGAATGTGAAGGTGGTGGACATCATGCACATGTAATAAGTATCATTTTTAAAAAATTTTAATAGGTACATAGGTATGTATATTTTTAGGTTACATGAAATATTTTGATACAGGCATGCAATGCGATTTGTAAGGATAAATGGAGTACCTAACACCTCAAGCATTATCTTATGTGACAAACAATCCGATTATACTCTTGGTTATTTTATTTATTTATTTTACTTCATTTTATTTTCTTCTTTTGAGATAGGATCTCACTCTGTCACCCAGGCTGGAGTGCAGTGGCATGATCTCGGCTCACTGCAACTTCTGCCTCCTGGTTTCAAGAGATTCTTCTGCCTCCGCCTCTCGAGTAGCTGGGATTACAGGCATGTGCCACCACGCCTGGCTAATTTCTGTATTTTTAGTAGAGATGTGATCTCACCATGTTGGCCAGGATGGTTTTGAACTCCTGACCTCAAGTTATCCACCCACCTCGGCCTCCCAAAGTGCTGGGATTAAAGATGTGAGCCACCGTACCCACCCATAAAAATTAGTACTTCATAATCTAAGCTTGAATTATATTTACCTTTGAAAGAAACCCAAGACCTTTGAATGGGACCTGTAGATTAATTAAAACATCAAGGTAGCCTGGGTGCAGTGGCTCATGCCTGTAATCCCAGCACTTTGTGAGGCTGAGGCAGGTGGATCATGAGGTCAGGAGATTGAGACCATCCTGGCTAACATGGTGCAACCCCGTCACTACCAAAAATACAGAAAATTAGATGGGCATAGTGGCACATACCTGTAATCTCAGCTACTTAGGCTGAGGCAGGAGAACCGCTTGAACCCAAAAGGCAGAGGTTGCAGTGAGTCGAGATAGCACCACTGCCCCCCAGCCTGGGCGACATGAGCAAAAAACTCCATCTCAAAAAAAAAAAGCATCTTTGATTGTCTGGAAACTGTAGTCAGAATTTAAAGTTACAGCATCACCATTTGAAAAAGGTTATTGATTATTCTCTAATCTGACATTTTCAACCTAAGTCATTAAAGGAATTTCAGTCACTGAAGATTGTGTATTCATGAACTCTTCACTTAGCTCATTGGCAACAAAGGAGTTTTATTTAAAGGGTTTGAAAAAGGAAATGGGTATATTTTCAGCTATTCTGTGACACACTGTCTCAATTTAAGCAGCTACAACTGATTCCACTAAATAGACATCTGTTTTCTAAAACAATGATCAACATTCAGTACCTGTTCATTTAATTGAAAAGTCAAAGGGACAATATTTTCTCTGAATGATTCTTTTTTATTTTCCCCCCAAGTGTTTACTAAAGGACAAGTCACCACAGGACAGTACAGGATGCTTGCCAAAAGAGGTGGATATGTCTGGGTTGAAACTCAAGCAACTGTCATATATAACACCAAGAACTCTCAACCACAGTGCATTGTGTGTGTAAATTATGTTGTGAGGTAAGTTTGAGAAATAAACATTTTTGGGAAACAAACAGTAATTCTTTTTGGATACTCTGTTCATTTATAGGAAGATAAGATTATAAATATTAACTAAATTTTATTTTACTTTCACATTTCTACCATTATTTTCTGTACTCTGACCTAAGTCGCCCAGGCTAGAGTGCAGTGGTGCAATCTTGGTTCACTGCAGCCTTCACCTCCCAGACTCAAGCCATTTTTGTGCCCTGTAGAGACGGGTTTTGCCGTGGTGGCCAAGCTGGTCTTTAACTCCCAGGCCCAAGGAATTCACCCACCTCAGCCTCCCAAAGTGCTGGGATTATAGGCATGAGCCACCCTGGACATCTGAAATTCTTAACTGAAATTAGTCAAAATATCTTGTATGGGGAGGTTTTTTTTTTAAATTTCAGCTTTTATTTTTTATTCAGGGGATACATGCATAGGTTACATGGGTATATCATGTGATACTGAGGTTTGTGGTACAATTGATCCTGTCACCCAGATAGTGAGCATAATGCCCAACAGCTGTTCAACAACCCTTGCCCCTCTCCCCTGGAAGTCCTCAGTGTCTGTTGATGCCATCTTTATGTCTACAAGTAACCCAATGTTTAGCTCCCACTTACAAGTGAGAACATGCAGCATTTGGTTTTCTGTTTCTCCATTATTTCACTTAGGATAATGGTCTCCAGCTGCATCCATGTTGCTGTATAGGACATGATTTCATTCTTTTTTTATGGCTGCATACTGCGAATTTTATTGGGTCTTCATTTAATATTAGCATTTTAAAACCCTAAATGTGACAAATTGTGCCTGAGAGATCATGCATCTCAAGAAATCTTAAAATGTTCCTGTCCGTAAAGCAGAATTTCTTAAGAGACCGTTTCACAGTTCCCCTTCCCGTCATTGTGTCAAGTGCTCATTTATGAATTACTAATTTCTCTTGTTTTGACAGTGGTATTATTCAGCACGACTTGATTTTCTCCCTTCAACAAACAGAATGTGTCCTTAAACCGGTTGAATCTTCAGATATGAAAATGACTCAGCTATTCACCAAAGTTGAATCAGAAGATACAAGTAGCCTCTTTGATAAACTTAAGAAGGAACCTGATGCTTTAACTTTGCTGGCCCCAGCTGCTGGAGACACAATCATATCTTTAGATTTTGGCAGCAATGGTGAGTAATTATTTTGTTAATTCCCTAAACTTTTGCTGCATGCCTCATTTCAACTAAATGTTACTTTGACGTTTTTTGTTGGTAATCATTTGGACATTGAAGGCTATTATGTTGGTTTGATTAAATATTTTTCCCCTGTAATTTCTTACCATTCGTGCTTTTTTTTATATTGTTGGAAATTGTATTTTAAAGTGTCCTTAAGGCATTTATTCTTCCCACAAATTTTTCCTGGCTACTCTGCTATTTCTGTATCCTGCTGTCAGATTTTCTCTAGTTTAGCGAGTTATATGGAAGTAGGCATTGTTGCATTAAAGGATAAATAGTCATATCATATGGGGAGCCACGATGGCTCCGGCCAGTTGTCCTGGCGCTCGAGGAGGTGAGGCTATGAGTTCAAGGCCAACCTGAGCAACATAACAAGCTCTCATTGATTGACCAAAAAAAAAAAAAAAAAAAAATAGTCATATCATAACATCAAACATTGAAGATGAAAACTGCAATTTTAAAGTAGAGAACATTTTAATATATAAAATGGTTAGTATTGCCTTTTGTCTTTTATGCCATACAGATTAAGAGGAGGTATCAATAGTGGATTGGAAAGATAATCCAGATTTAAGATTATACTATAATATTTGTTAACTTCCTGATGAAAGAAAATTTGGTAACATTTTGTTGTTTGATAAATTGTATACATTTTTTGTATGTTAAAATCCTCGTGGCCGGGTGTGGTGCCTCACGCCTGTAATCCTAGTACTTTAGAAGGCCAAGACAGGTAGATCACTTAAGGTTAGGAGTTTGAGACCAGCCCGGCCACCATGGTGAAAAGCTGTCTCTACTAAAAATAAAAAAATTAGCTGGGTATGGTGGTGCGTGTTTGTAATCCCAGCTACTACTCGGGAGGTTGAGGCAGGAGAATTGCTTGAACCCAGGAGTCAGAGGTTCAGTGAGCCAAGATTGTGTCACTGTACTCCATCCTGGGCAACAGAGCAAGACTCTGTCTTGCTCAAATAAAAATATTTGTATACTTTATATTGACTCATATTTTTTCCTTGCAGACACAGAAACTGATGACCAGCAACTTGAGGAAGTACCATTGTATAATGATGTAATGCTCCCCTCATCCAATGAAAAATTACAGAACATAAATTTGTCAATGTCTCCATTAGCCACCTCTGAAACTCCAAAGCCACTTCGAAGTAGTGCTGACCCTGCACTGAATCAAGAAGTTGCATTAAAATTAGAACCAAATCCAGAGTCACTGGAACTTTCTTTTACCATGCCCCAGATTCAAGATCAGCCACCCAGTCCTTCTGATGGAAGCACTAGACAAAGTTCACCTGAGGTAGGTGTCATGATATAATCAGAAAGGGACAACTTTCAGATTTTAACATTCAAGATTGTATATAATTATAAGTTTGATTGAAACACTAATTTGAACCACAAATTATATTTGTGTGTGTGTTTGAATTTTAGCACTTTAAAATTATTGCAAGAGCTATTGCTTAACTTAGACCTCAGCACATGTTTTAAGCTCAAAGATAGGAACTTGGGAAGAAACTAGCATAATATAAACCAAAAGGTGAAACATACATTGTTTCTTATTATTTATATCAGTAGGACAAAAACGTCTTGAATTTGGACATTTTAGACTAGGACTAAGTGTGCTCAAGGTAGCCACAGCCTATACCTGTTACCTTGATTTTTTTGTTTGTTTTGTTTTATTGTGGGTTGTTGTTTTTATTTTTTGAGACAGAGTCTCACTGTCACTCAGGCTGGAGTGCAGTGGTGCAATCACAGCCCACTGCAGCCTCAGCCTCCCAGGCTCAAGTGATTTTCCCACCTCAGCCTCTCGAGTAGCTGAGACTACAGGCCCACACCACCATGCCTAATTTTTTAACCCTTTTTTTTCCCTGTAGAGTCGGGGTTCTCACTATGTTGCCCAGGCTGTTTGTAAGCTCCTGAGCTTAAGCGATCATCCAATCTTGGCCTCCCAAAGTACTAGGATTACAGGTGTGAGCTACCATCCCTGGCCCATTACACCTTTAAGTTGGAGAACTGTCTGGTAACAATAGGCTTAACAGGGTTTACATGGGAAAGGACCTTATAAATTCTTTGCCCAATTTAGTTCAGTTTCCATCACTATTTTGAAACTTTAAGTATAACATGAAAGTAACAAGTCTTACATAAATTAAATACTTAGTAACTGGTCTGTTTTATTCTAGATCTGTCTTGATATTAATTGTCCTATAAACACAACAAAAATAATCTTTAAAGGCTGGACTGACCAAGACTAGAGCTGTCACACAGGGCTCTATTTCTAAATCTAGAATGATTCCATTTCAGGACTTCCTACATTTAAAAATATGCTCAGGAGTAGGGTAACTTAGCTCTGAACACTATAACTTGATAAATGAAGCATAAATCAGCTTTAATAAGTGGTAAATAATTCTACATTAAATATTTGAATAAAACTGGCAAGCTAAGAGTAGGAGATTTGATCTCATAGCCTTCTGGTATAGGAGTATCTCCTATGCCCTGCTTGCTTAATTTACCTAGCACAAAAAAAATGTTTGATTCATTTTGGTTTTTGTCTAACAAAAATAATAGAATGATGAAAGCAAAATTCCTTGTTTAGAATACACAGCTATAGTTTTTTGTTAAAATTCTTGCCCAGAACTCTTAAAATAGTAATAATGTATATTCATTCAGGTGTATGCAGGTAAAAGCACTTAAGTCTCTACTCCTACCCTCAACTGTAGCTGTGAGATTTTTAGGTAGCTCAATCACCATAGAAGTGTGCCTTCTCATTTCAAAGGTAAATTCCAGAGAATGTAGCATCTAGTTAATTGGTCAGTTAGGTACCATTGTGGGATGTAAATTACCAAAAATTGGTTTTATTCTTTAGAATAAGATGTTTCTTTTAATTTTAAAAATGATGTTATATTACATAGTCAGAAATACGTACATTGGCAAAATTAGTTACCAGTATAAGCTTCAAAATGTCATTTTTTTCACTAAACTTTTAAAATTTTTTTTGAGACGGAGTCTCACTCAGTTGCCCAGGCTGGAGTGCAGTGGTATGATCTCGGCTCACTGCAACCTCGGCCTCCTGGGTTCAAGCTTTAGCCTCCTGAGTAGCTGGGACTATAGGCGTGTTCCAGCATACCCAGCTAATTTTTGTATTTTAAGTAGAGACAGGGTTTCACTATTTTGGCCAGGATGGTCTTGATCTCCTCACCTCATGATCCACCTGCCTCAGCCTCCCAGTGCTGGGATTACAGGCATGGACAACCATGCCGGCCTCGTTAGATAAAATTTGATAAACATGATGGATTTGGTTGTGTGTTTTTTGTTTTTTCCTGAGATCTAGTTTGAAAATTCTGACAACTAGCAAAGTATATGGAGGCTTCTTCAGGAAAAACTAAATATATTTAATTCTCTTTACAGCCTAACAGTCCCAGTGAATATTGTTTTTATGTGGACAGTGATATGGTCAATGAATTCAAGTTGGAATTGGTAGAAAAACTTTTTGCTGAAGACACAGAAGCGAAGAACCCATTTTCTACTCAGGTAAATGAACTTATTTGTTTTATATTAAATTTCATTAATTTTTATTCTGAAGTGACTTTAACTTGTTTTTTATATATAAAGTGTGGCCATTGTAAAAACTCATGTATTTGCTGTTTTAAAGGACACCGATTTAGACTTGGAGATGTTAGCTCCCTATATCCCAATGGATGATGACTTTCAGTTACGTTCCTTCGATCAGTTGTCACCGTTAGAAAGCAGTTCTGCAAGCCCTGAAAGCGCAAGCCCTCAGAGCACAGTTACAGTATTCCAGCAGACTCAGATACAAGAACTTACTTCTAATGCCACCACTACCACTGCCACCACTGATGAATTAAAAACAGTGACAAAAGACCGTATGGAAGACATTAAAATATTGATTGCATCTCCATCTCCTACCCACATACATAAAGAAACTACTAGTGCCACATCATCACCATATAGAGATACTCAAAGTCGGACAGCCTCACCAAACAGAGCAGGAAAAGGAGTCATAGAACAGACAGAAAAGTCTCATCCAAGAAGCCCTAACGTGTTATCTGTCGCTTTGAGTCAAAGGTATTTATGTGTAACATTCAAGTTATAGCTCTTTTATTATTTTTGAGAAAATGTATGTGACAGTACATAATTTTTAAATGTATAGCAAACCTGATGTATATGCTCTAAGACAAATTCTTAAGCACTCAAAAAGTTTTCTAAATTAACCTCATGTATTTTTTTCTAAAATAATTATAAATTCTAAAATTACCTATCTAAATGTAAGAGTCTTCTGACACCTTTAAAATAAAATCCAGCTCAGGAAGTTCTGTAATCAGATATACTTCTTGAATTTGTTTAAATCAAGACTAGTTAACTACCCTCGCTACTTAGATATTTCCATTTCTTTTTTTTTTTTTTTTTTTTAATTAGAGACAGGTTTTCGCCATGTTGGGCAGGCTGGTCTGGAACTCCTGACCTCAGGTGATCCGCCTGCCTCAGCCTCCCAAAGTGCTGGGGTTACAGGCATGAGCCACTGCGCCCAGCAGATGCTTCCATTTCTTAGAGCTCTTTCTTTAAGCTTATCTGAAGAAAAGCCCTTCCAATTTAAGGGTTATTTCCAATTGCACATTCCAAATTGAGTCTTCCATCTTTAGCATTCAATATAGATATTTACAAGCCCCTCTTTCAAACTGTTATTAGAGTTACTTATATTAAAGTTGCTTTTATTTTTCATTACATATTTGTAGAACCTTAGCTCGCTCTCTCTCTATATATATATTACAGGCAATATAGGTTTTTGAACTCTACAACAGGAATCTAAGCATGACTTAAGACATTACTTCTTAGGAGCTAGTTCAGACAAACATATGGACACAACCCAATTTTTAAGTTATACTTCCTGTGTATAATTGGCAAGGGGATTTCACATATTTTAAGTTTGAGGCTATAGCTAGAAGAAATATGTTCTGGTTTATAAGTGTGTGGAAGAGGGAAATGATTGCTACTCTAGTATGTCTAGACTGAGCCAGATATCAATATCAATAGTAAGGAATCACTGTTATAGCCAGAGCACATAGGTTTTTTTTCCCTGCCCAGCATTCTCACCTTGACGTAGTGCTGGGAGGTCTTTTCCCTAAGCTAGGAAAAGATCTCAGGACGTTAGATGAACTCAGAAGTACTACTTTACATTCTTTTATAAGTTACTGTGTCACTAACTCAGTTTTTACCTTGAGCTCCGCTAGGGCAATTACAGTATCTTGGGCATTTTAGTGATACTAATACTTAGCTCATGACCTAATGTGTAGTACTTCCTCAATAAATGGTTGTTGGGGCAGGGCGTGGTGGCTCAAGCCTGTAATCTCAATGCTTTGGTAGGCTGAAGCATGTGGATCACCTGAGGCCAGGAGTTTGAGACCAGCCTGGCCAACATGGTGACACCCTGTCTCTACGAAAAATACAAAAATTAGCTGGGTGTGGTCCCTGTAATCCCAGGTACTTGGGAGGCTGAAGCAGAAGAATTGCTTGAACCAGAGAGGCAGAGATTGCAGTGAGCTGAGATCATGCCATTGCAATCCAACCTGGGTGACAAGAGCAAAACTCTGTTTCAAAAAAAAAAAAAAGGTTGTTGGACTGACAGATGCATGAATACAGTAATATAAATGACAGTCACTTATCATTTACAGTTTACTGTTAGCTACAGAGGATGGGTATCCAGTTTTCTGAATACCTGACACATCAGGTCACTTTAGCAATTCTTTTTAAACATTAATTCCAATGTCGCATGCACTGAAAACTTTCATGAAAGGAACCTCAAAAATACTTGGAAGTGTTTTTTCCTACCTTGCAGGTAATTATTTATAAAATTAAAGTGCTGTACCAAACCAGGAGACTTAAAGCTTTAGGATTAAAGATAAACCATGAAAAGCATAACTACTAAGTACTGTTAGTACTACAATGTTTTCATAATAGACTGAGTTACATTTCATAAAGACAATATATGTTTATAAGAATTTTTAAACCTGCTTGTCTCTATAATAGAAGGTTTATAGAATTAAAAAAAAAAACTAAAGAAAACTGCAAAATAAGAGAGCAGTTAGATCACTTATCTATTTGGCACTCTTAACTATCTGGAACAGCAGGGAGTCTTTATGATTATGCATTTGGTTGTGGGGAGTCTTGAAAAGTCAAAATAGTATAACAAAGCTGATGTACTTGACTCATTAGAACAGTTCTTCACTATTTAATATTAATGTTAGATATATATAGTTCATGTTTGATAACCAGATTAATATGGAGGGCAAAATAGCAGAGTGGTAAGAGCAGGGGAGAGGAGGTGCAGATATAGAGACCTAGAGTGTACTTCAATATCTGCAACTAGTGAGCAGTAGGACTTTGGGAAAGTTACCCAATAGGCCACGGGGTTCTCATTTATAAAAAGGGTATGATATGCCTGTCTTATCTACCTTGGGAACCTGAGTGAGGTTAAAATGAACTAATGAAATGTTTCATAAACTGAAAACACTATACATATGTGAAACTGATCTTGAATTTCAATAGTCCCAACAATATCACTACATTGTTATATTAGGTGGAATAAAAGGATAATGTTTAACTATTTTGACTCTACAATGTCAATTTAGTTGTGTTTGGCTCTGTTTTATAAAACAGGGATACGCATAGTGTAGAAAATGTTCTGCTAAAAATTAAGCTTTGAATGCCAGGCGCTTATGCCTGTAATCCCAACACTTTGGGAGGTTGAGGTGGATGGATCACTTGAGTTCAGGAGTTTGAGACAAGCCTGAGCAACATGATGAAACCCGTCTCTACAAAAATGTGTGTATAAATTAGCCATAATCCCAGCTACTCGAGAGGCTGATGTGGGAGGATCACTTGATCCTGGAGGCAGAGCTTGGTTGCAGTGAGCAGAGATCATGTCTCTGCACTCCAGCCTGGCTGACACAGTGAGACCTTGTCTCACCAAAAAAAGAAAAAATTAATAAAGCTTTGACTTCAGAGTTTAGCTTTTGTTGCCCAGGCTGAAGTGCAATGGTGCAATCTTGGCTCATCACAACCTATACCTCCTGAGTTCAAGCAGTTCTTCTGCCTCAGCCTCCCGAGTAGCTAGGATTATAGGCATGCACCACCATGCCCAGCTAATTTTTGTATTTTTAGTAGAGATGGGGTTTCTCCATGTTGGTCAGGCTGGTCTCAAACTCCTGACCTCAGGTGATCCACTCGCTTTGGCTTCCCAAAGTACTAGGATTACAGGCATGAGCCAATGGCTCGGCCCAGCTTTGACTTAAGGTGATAAACTTTAGTAATTAGGAAAGTTCTCATACGTATATTACATTCCTTAATATTGGAAAACTAAGGAATTAGGTATTTAAAAGAGCCCACTGGGTATTTTTTTTAAAAAGTAAAACAGCTATATTTTTATTTCGATTTTTTTTTCTTTTCAGAGCTACAGTTCCTGAGGAAGAACTAAATCCAAAGATACTAGCTTTGCAGAATGCTCAGAGAAAGCGAAAAATTGAACATGATGGTTCACTTTTTCAAGCAGTAGGAATTGTAAGTATGAGGGTAGTAGGTTTTGCTTTTCTAGCTAATGTGCTATTTCCGTGTGTGTGTGTGTGAGATTCCTTTTTTCCAAATAGTAAAGTTACATTTTCAGAAGTTATACCTTGGGGTTTTTTTTACTCTGTATATACTATTCTATAAAAATACAATGTTTAATGGATACATTCCTGGTATATAAATTCCAAACAATTCCATTCCAATGTATTTTGAGTTAAAAAGTGAAGTTCTCCTCTTAACCACCCTGAGTATCACCACAATCTCATTCTCTTCCCTTTAAGTTACTTTGCCTTGTTAAAAGAACTGCTATTGGCTGGGCGCAGTGGCTCACGCCTGTAATCCCAACACTTTGGGAGGCCAAGGTGCATGGATCACTTGAGGTCAGGAGTTCTGTACTAGCCTGGCCAACTTGGTGAAACCCTGTCTCTACTAAAAATACAAAAATGAGCTGGGCATGGTGGTGCATGCCTATCATCCCAGCCACTTGGGAGGCTGAGGCAGGAGAATCATTTGACCCAGGATGTGGAGGTTGCATTGAGCTGAGATCAGGCCATTGCACTCAGCCTGGGTGAGAGACTGAGAGTCCGTCTCAAATAAAAAAATAACTGCTATGTTTTGGGGTAAGTCAATGGTGATGTAATTCATTCTGATATTTTCAAACCAAATTAACTGGGAAGTATTTATAGACCGATTGGTCACAATGGATGGTAAATAACTTTATCATAATATTAAGAGAAAGAATTTAAAATAATTTATGGTAGTATTTAAGAAACTGCCTATAATATTATTAAATTTACACCGATTTCAAAGGTATTGGTTGTAAAAAAAAGTTCAACAAACTAAACTTGAAATAACTTTACTGTTTATAGGGAACATTATTACAGCAGCCAGACGATCATGCAACTACTACATCACTTTCTTGGAAACGTGTAAAAGGATGCAAATCTAGTGAACAGAATGGAATGGAGCAAAAGACAATTATTTTAATACCCTCTGGTTAGTTTATTCTTTCTCACCTTGAACATCACAAAGACAAAATATATGAAACATTTTTATTTAGGAGCTTTAATCTAAGTGAGGGTCACTTTGGTTCCTTAGCAAGATTAAAAAGTAAAGTTACGGCCAGGCACGGTGGCTCAAGCCTGTAATCGCAGCAGTTTGGGAGGCCTAGGCGGGCAGATCACGAGGTGAAGAATTCAAGACCAGCCTGGCCCAGATGGTGAAACCCCATCTCTACTAAAAATACAAAAAAGCCGGGCATGATTGCGGGCGCCTGTAATCCCAGCCACTTGGGAGGCTGAGGCAGGAGAATCGCTTGAACCTGGGAGGCAGAGATTGCAGTGAGCCGAGATCACGCCACTGCGCTCTAGATGGGGCAACAAAAGCAAGACTCCATCTCAGAAGAAAAAGAAAAAAAGTAAAGTTGTATTTCATTTAATGGCCTTAATACAGGGATAAACATTTCAAGGTGGAACTTTCCATTTTTAGTAATTTCCTTTGAGTTGTCTTTGTTTATGTGCTGTCAATATTGATAGAAGCTGAAGAAATTGGTGAATTTTTATGACTACCACCTTTTTTTTTTTTGAGACAGGGTCGTGCTCTGTTGCCTAGGCCTAGAGTGCAGTGGCGTGATCACAGCTCACTGCAGTCTCAAACTCCTATGCTCAAGCAATCATCCTGCCTCAGCCTCCTGAGTAGCTTACACTACAGGCATGCCTCACCATGCCTGGCTGCTTTTTGTAGAGATGGAGTTTCAATATGTTGCCCAGGATAGTTTCAAACTCCTGGTCTCAAGTGATTCTCCTGCCTTGGCCTATGAGCCCCGATATGCCCACCATAATTATGCCTTTTTCCAAATTGTTACTTCTTTGTGCCTTTATTGTATCCAGTAAATACTTCTGACACAGCACTAGTATCACTTGATTGTACATTTTTACATAGTTGTCGTTTTGCCAGGTAGACTAAAAACCCTTCCAGAAGTTTATTTTCTATGATACCTAACACATTGTGGGTGTTTAATAAATATTCATTGACTAGATGAATGTATACTTAGGTATCTCTTTGTTTTTCAGATTTAGCATGTAGACTGCTGGGGCAATCAATGGATGAAAGTGGATTACCACAGCTGACCAGTTATGATTGTGAAGTTAATGCTCCTATACAAGGTAGCAGAAACCTACTGCAGGGTGAAGAATTACTCAGAGCTTTGGATCAAGTTAACTGAGCTTTTTCATAATTTCATTCCTTTTTTGGACACTGGTGGCTCATTACCTAAAGCAGTCTATTTATATTTTCTACATCTAATTTTAGAAGCCTGGCTACAATACTGCACAAACTTGGTTAGTTCAATTTTGATTCCCTTTCTACTTAATTTACATTAATGCTCTTTTTTAGTATGTTCTTTAATGCTGGATCACAGACAGCTCATTTTCTCAGTTTTTTGGTATTTAAACCATTGCATTGCAGTAGCATCATTTTTAAAATGCACCTTTTTATTTATTTATTTTTGGCTAGGGAGTTTATCCCTTTTCCTAATTATTTTTAATAAGATGCCAATATAATTTTTGTAAGAAGGCAGTAACCTTTCATCATGATCATAGGCAGTGAAAAAATTTTTACATCTTTTTTTTCACGTTTTACATAAACAATAATGCTTTGCCAGCAGTACGTGGTAGCCACAATTGCACAATATATTTTCTTAAAAAATACCAGCAGTTACTCATGGAATATATTCTGTGTTTATAAAACTAGTTTTTAAGAAGAAATTTTTTTTGGCCTATGAAATTGTTAAACCTGGAACATGACATTGTTAATCATATAATAACGATTCTTAAATGCTGTATGGTTTATTATTTAAATGGGTAAAGCCATTTACATGATATAGAAAGATATGCATATATCTAGAAGGTATGTGGCATTTATTTGGGTAAAATTCTCAATTCAGAGAAATCATCTGATGTTTCTATAGTCATTTTGCCAGCTCAAAAGAAAACAATACCTTATGTAGTTGTGGAAGTTTATGCTAATATTGTGTAACTGATATTAAACCTAAATGTTCTGCCTACCCTGTTGGTATAAAGATATTTTGAGCAGACTGTAAACAAGAAAAAAAAAATCATGCATTCTTAGCAAAATTGCCTAGTATGTTAATTTGCTCAAAATACAATGTTTGATTTTATGCACTTTGTCGCTATTAACATCCTTTTTTCATGTAGATTTCAATAATTGAGTAATTTTAGAAGCATTATTTTAGGAATATATAGTTGTCACCGTAAATATCTTGTTTTTTCTATGTACATTGTACAAATTTTTCATTCCTTTTGCTCTTTGTGGTTGGATCTAACACTAACTATTGTTTTGTTACATCAAATAAACATCTTCTGTGGACCAGGCCCCTTTGATCAGCTTTTATGTTCCAATACTAAGAAAATTTGCTTCAAGACCTCCAACTCAAAAAATTGTTTACCAACAATTTAAGTACTTTATGAAAAGTACATGGTACTGGTTATTTCTACATTTATCTTACTGCTATCACCTTAATGTATGTTGAGTCCCGAACTGTCATGTTATATAATAACAACCATAATATCCCATTGTAAAGAGTATGTTGTTAGAAAAGAAATGTCGGTTTTAAATTTCTGAGCCTATTAAAATGTTAAGACACAAAATGTTAGTATTTTTAGTATGTGAATGGGATGAGCGAAGTCTCAACATTATAGTCACATAATGTTACAAAGGCTAGAGTTTCTCTGAAGATTTCTAATGTATTCCCATTAACAGATGAATAAATTTAGACCTCAAATGAAGAAAAATGTGCATTTTTCTTTAAAAGAAATAGATGGCAGACCAAAAATGTAAGCTTAAGTTTCCTAACTCTAAAGTCTAACTTAGAACAAGTTTGGTTTGTTCTTGTTTTAATGATACTGCATTTAAAAACAAAGTAGCTTTATTCTTTTTCTCCTGTACTTTTATGAAATAGATACATCTCTTTTACACTCACAATCTCATTTAAAAAATCACAGTATAGAAAGATACTTTTGAAAACTGAAAAATCACTATGAATCCTTGCACCTACAGGTACAGAAAATTATTTTTATGAACAAATTGCGTAGGAAGTGCCAAAGCCTTAGGTCTTGTACCCTGAGGTATATATACTGAACAAAAGGAATTGAGCAGCAGATCTCTTAGGTGGCTGTTTTTATCTTCAAATGGAGGACAGTGATTAAAATTAAAATTACATGAAAATTTTGGAACAAGAGTTCACAATACTTGGGGGAGACAGGAACACTTAAACCACAAATACTGTGACCCAAAGTGCTTCAACATTTAGTTACAGATAGTATTATACTAGAAGTGGTATTTTAGAATAAAGTAGTTGCTTAATAATCACAGATCACAAAACAAAAAATTATGCTTATGTAGCAAATTAGCTTCAGTTGGAAACTATTTGTAAATGAGCAAATTATGTAATGACCAGGAGTTCAGAAAAATGACTTGTGAAAGCATTGATTGAGAAGGGAAAGCCGCCATTAAAGGACAGTACAGCTGGAAGGAACCAAGTACTAACCTACTGCTCAGTCACTCAGGAAACAAGCTACTTGGAATGCTTTAAGCTATGGAACGGTAAGAGTAGCTCTTCCCAATTTTATGCACCATCACAGATTTCTTCATAATGGTTTGTCCAAGGTTTATACCCAACCCTAGCAACTATAATTCTATAATAGTTCTCTCCTTAATAATTCCTCTCCCCTCCTTATTTTATGAAATAGCTGTATTTCTTTTATACTCATAACCCAGAAAATGGGAATGTATGTTGTGAGTATAAAAGAGATATAGCTATTTCATAAAAATACAGGAGAAAATGAATAAAGCTATTTAAATTTGTTTAATGCAAAATCATTAAAAACCAAGTTTGTTCAAAGTTTGACTTTAGAATCAGGAGACTTAGCTTACATTTTTGGCCTGCCGTCTATTACTTTTAGAGCTTGGGTAAATTATTCTTCATTTGAGGTCTAAGTGCTATATATAGTTCATTCGTAGCAGTACCACATAGGAGTATATCTATACAGTATATAGCCTTGGAGAAGTGCTCTAAGTTTCAGGGCATTTTAGGTGGCCATTAGTGACCCTAAAGCCCATGGTGCTAACCACCCTGCAGTGCTAGCCAATCCAGTTGAACATACCCTTTTCTCCATTGTTAACTGTTTAAATAGCAAACAGGAGAAACAATGGAAGTATGGAAAACTGAGGGTTCCGTGTCAGTTCAAAGTAATGAGATCACATAACACATTGAGGGAATGTCCTAAGAGGAGTAGCAAGGCATAAACAAATGAATAAAAGTGTTCTCAGTGCTATATAGTGGGTTCTGAATTTGAGCTAGAGATTGAGATACGGAGGCATAACTCAATGAGGTGTAGTGAATGGAAAAGCACAAACTATAAAAGACTGTATCAATGTATGGTATGGTTTTCCCAGAGCTGTTTTGACTTAATGGCATCACAGATATGTTTAAGTTTTTATAACCTCACGATTACCATTCCAAATGTTGATTTCCTTCTAGAAACCTCTACACAGAAAAGATGAACTTAAAATTAGTCGCCTTGTGGAAACTTAATCTAAAAGTTCAAAATTTTCAAACAGCAATACCTAAAACAAGTTGCAGAGTAAAGAATCCTCTTTGTTTCAACATTAAGATTTGGTTAAACCGTTGCAAACGTGTTGCTAGCTGGAACCAACAAAAATGTAAAAGGTTTTTTTTTAAGTCTTCCACTAACCACTTTGCTCATATTTCGTTCTTTTAAATAGAGGTGAGCCTGTCGTCCCAGATCATTTCACAGAGAATTAGTGAAATTCGAGACAAAATAGTCTCCCTGTAGGATAAAAGTTACACTTTACCATAAACCTTCCTATGAACGCCTTCTGGAACTTTGATGTGTTCACACCTTTCATAGGTTTGGACATAATTTTTATTCTTACCTGTAATGGATAGTTTTTCCAAGACGCTGCCCAGACACCCGATCTCTGTGTACTATTGAATTTCCTTTATTCCCTTGTCTTGGCTCCATTCTGGAACGGAGAGGAAAGACAGGTGCCTGAGAACGGCAGCGGTCAGAGCCCCGCGGGGAAAATACCAAGTATGCCGAAGGGACCCGGCACCCCTTACGTTCCTGGTGCGGCTTGCGCTACATGATGAGGCTGCGAAACCCAAGCCAACCCGAGAAACTTCCCGAGCCCCGCCCGGCGCACGGCAGGCCACGCCCCAGTACGTGCTGAGGCGCAGCACCGCAGCCACGGCCCGGGGATCCCGGGATACTGGGCTTCCGCCGCGCGAGGTGGCTGCGTGTGTGCAGTGGGGTGGCTGCTGTCCGCTCCGCGTACGTGTGCGAGAGCATGCGGGAGGCCCTGGCCTCTCCGGGCCTGAGACCGGGCGGGGCCCGGCGCGAGGGGTCAGCCCTGGGCTTTGTCTTCTGGGACTTATCAAAGTCGGAAGCATAGTGCTTCTCAGACTGTTTTTTAGATGGGGGGCGTGGGTGAATGGGACTCGGTATGTTGCTGTAGAGCTGTTTCCTTTGGGGTGAGAAGCTTTTTCTTTGTAGAATAGGAAAATTTGAATTCTAACAGATTGGACCGTCGTTAGCTATGTAATACTTTTTTTTTTTAATTAGACATCTAATCTAATAAAAAATACAGGACTTCTATGTCTATTTAAACATATTCCTCTTAAGGCGCTCAAAGACTTAGCTTATTTTAAATAAAGCACTTTGAGATATGCCTAGTTAAGGATCTCGAAACTTAAGCTACCCCATGTGGTGCTGTTTTTAGTTGGTGAGGTTTGTTGGGGGGTGTTGGCCTTTTTACTTTTTTCATTATGTTGTTTGCCAACTGTTGAGGATCCTTTGGGAGAAGATAATCTTGTTGGACGGAAGGGAGGTGAGTGTGGAATATGGAAAATGCTTGGAGCCTTAATCTCTGTAATAATTGGTATGTTAAGATTGCATAATGTAAAGTACAAAGCCAGGTACTGTTTAGAATAAATAACTTCGCCTGTGCATATCCACAGCTCACTATATTTTACATTTTATTTTAATTTGTTTCCTTCAGGAAAATTCACTGTGGTTTCCTCAAACAGAATTTTATAGAAAGCAAAGGTACACTTTTAAAAAGCAGTTGAGGTGTTTTAGATACTTTTTACTAGTAAAAACTGATCTGTAGCCTCAGTCATCATACGCGTGTGTGTTTGTGTTTAATTAGGGTGGTGCCCTTTAATGAGAGTGCCATAATTATTCTGCTCTTACAGATGCATAATCATTGTAGATGGACGATTCTCCATAGAGGAGAGCAGGCTGGTGGGGCTGTAATATTAATCGCAAAGGGTATGCCTTTTACAAAGTTGAGAAACGCCATGTATAGCCAGATAAGTAGACTAGGATTCTGTGAAGCCAAATCTAATTTTAAAGATCTTTGAAATATTAACATTGACAAACTATTTTATGTAGAGATCCTTTCTAAATATGACTGGATAATATTATTTGCTCTTTGAAATTGATTTTTAAAAATAGTTCTACATAGAAAATCTTTCATAAGGGTACAGAACAATCTGGGAAGAAGTCATTAGGGAGTCATTATAAGACTCCCTAATCTGCTGGTAGAATATTAAAGCAAAAACCTAAAGAAAATGAGCTACAAATACAGAAAATTAGAAAGGAGCCGGTACAGTCTGGGAGGTACTTTGCATCAACCTTTGCCTCTTAAGAGTTTTTCCAGCTGCAAATATTTGTCACTCCTGTGAACTTCCTTATCACTTCCTCTTTAGCTTTCTCACCTCTTTCTTTTTTTTTTTTAACCTTAAGTTTGCATACCTTAATCCCTCGTACTAAACTCGTAGTTTCTTCAGAGCATGGTTCCCATCTGACTCATCTTTGATCAGTCCTAAAACCTTCCACTCTGCATGCGCAAAGACAACTCACACATGATCCAAGGTGGGAGAGGATTTCAGGTGTGACAGAGACGAGAAAAGAACTATGATCAGAGGAACCGAAAACAGAACCATTTTCTAGCTTTTCCAGGGAGATTCATTCAATCAATGAATAGTGTTGAGTAAGTATAAGATATTATTCTAAGACCTCTAGGTAATATAAATATTCTAGAATATAATGCCTGCTATCAAGAGAGCAGTTAATCCCTATTCCGTGAGGTACTTACAAATTAAACTGTACTTGTGCAAATACAGTTGAAGTCTAAATAGAATTTTTATTGGCCCTTTGAGATGTTTTAAGCCACCATTACCTTTCCTTTTCAGGGTTGTCGCCAGCTTAATAATCTCTGTCTCCAGCCCAGGTTGCTCCCCACAGGCCCCCCAAATTTGGCATGTCAAAAAATAACTCCTCATTTG